GATTAAACAGTTCATATGAACTTGCACGAGCAGATGCTGATGCAGATTGGGTTCACAGGTTAGAGCTGAGTGGGAGGTGGTTTAGGTGGTGTCCCCAAGCCCCAGTGAAGCCCCTCACCCTCCATGAGGCACAACCAGCAGCCATGCAAGGGACCCCCTGTGCCCAGACTGGGCATCTCCTCAGGCATCGCCCACCACCTGGGTCTCTGCAGCATCCACAGCCCCCAGAGACAGCAAAGAGAGGGGGGAGGATGAAAACGAGGAGGTACCTCATGGTGGTTCATCCTGGAGGGCTCAGGAGGCTGCTGGAAGAATCTCTATGCAGTGGCTGGGACACAGGAATGCCCAGGTGATGCCAACAGGGAGAGAAAGGAGGCTCAGAGCCCCTTCACCTGCAGCTGGAGCACACAGGAGCATCCTGGGAAGGGATGCCAAGCTCCTGGAGAGTATGTGATGGCAGGGAAAGAGCAGATGGGAAAGGGAAATAGGGCCCAGCCCCATGGAGAAACTGGGGGAGTGGGAAACCAGGTAAAAGGTGTTTATATTCCCAGCTACAACTCGTGATGCTGCCAGAAACAGAGGCATGGAGAGGTGAAGGGATGGCCCAGTGGTGCTCAAAGAGATGCAGGAAAAGCTCCAGATGAACTAGAGGGTCTCACCTGGGCACAGCATTTCCCTTCCCACACCAACCAGCTCCGTCCCCACTCCCCAGACAAGCAGGTTCCCACCCAAGGATGTAGCTGAAAACTTCCACCAGCGGCTGCCCCGAGGGGTTCTGGGGGAGATTCTCCCTGAGATCATCACATGTTCAAACATCCCCCCCAGTTTGATTTACCTCTGACCAAGGGGAGAAGGGGGTGGTGACCCACAGCTCATTTCTGCCACCATCTGTGTCATTCCACACTCTGTTCCCACGGAGATGGCACAGGAGGTGGCTGGAAGGGGACTCAGCAGCTGGCACAACACCCAGCACCGGGGATCAGGGAAGGAGGAACAAGTATTTTCCATAAGGAGTGGAAGGAGGAGGAGCATGGGAGAAAGCAGCAGCCCAGCAGGCACAAGGGAAATTATTAATTATCAGGATGCAGCAATGAGGAGCCTGCAGGCTGGAGGCACATCCTTGCCTCCCATCCCTGGCCTCCAGCAGCACCCATGGAGCAGGATGGGGTGTTTGGGTGCCCCAAGCATCACCCCACATGTGAGAGCTGACCACATTCAAAGTGCAATTTTTAGGTGCAATTTGATAAAAGTGAGAAATAAGCATTTAAATATATATGAATATATAGATATACATAGCTTTTTCATAGAATCATAGAATATCCTGAGTTGGAAGGAACCCACAAAGATCATTGAGTCCAAATCCTGGCCCTGCACAGGACAGCCCCAAGAACCTGTAGCTGCAGACACAAATGCTGATCCCAGTTCTCATGTCAAATCACAATGGGATGTCCCCACACAGGAGGGGCTTCAGGAAAGCAGCACATGGAGCAGCACTGGGAAAATACAGCAACAAGTGTTTGGGACAGCTGAAGCTCTGTTTTCTGTAATTTAAACAATATATTAATTTATTCAAACCTCTTATCAGCAAAGGGAGAAAAGAACCCTGATTCAGAGTATTTTGGACTGTTTAAGCCTATTTATGGGACAAGGCTGTTCCTGGGAATGGCGAGGGGAAGCTGTGCTGTCCTGGTTTGCAGCCCATCTGCTTTGGCTGCTCTTTGCAGGAGGCAGGACGAGCACCAAACATGGTGAACTGCAACGTGGGAAACCTTGTCCAGATTTTTTCTTAATGGATTTAACTTAATCAAGTGGCTCCAATGGGAATTTATCACACGGGAGGAGAAGACACAGACACTGCTGTGTGAGGACGAGCTGGGGGAGCCACAGTGGGATGGGTGCAGGACCTGGGGGCTGCCATGGGTGTTCTGGCTCCCAGTATCCCACCAGCCCTATATCCTCACCAGGCAAACACCAGTAGATACTCAGGGCTTGGATGCCTCGGAGACAAGGCTGGAAAAGCCCATCCTTGTGCAGGGATTTGCACAGGGATGGCACAGCCAAGCTGCCACTGCGGGGCACGTGTGGGGCTGTGGAGGCACCAAGGGATGTGCCAAGGGATGTGCCAAGGGAGGCACTGAGAGGTGAACCCAGGAATGCACTGAGGGATGCACTGAGAGGTGAACCAAGGCCAGCACTGAGGAATGTGCAGAGGGATGCACTGAGGGATGCCCCAAGGGATGCACCAAGGAATGTGCCATGGATGTGTCCAGGGATGCACAGAGGGATGTGCCAAGGGATGTGCCACGGGATGCACCAAGGAATATGCCACAGGATGCACCAAGGGATGAACCAAGTGCTCGCTTTTCAGGCAAGGATTCCAGCCGAGGCTGAACGAGAGAAAACATCCTCATTACTGCCTTAGGTCCTTAACTTTTAAGTTTTCCCCACTTTCCCCACTCCCACAGGGCTCCTGCCTGTGTAAGATCCCTCCTGTTTACACCCATTAAACACCAAATACAGCTTCCCCGTGCCCCAGTCGGGTGATGTCCCTGGGATGCACAAACTCCAGGTGAATATTGACTTTGTACTGACAAGGCTCCAGTCCAAATACCACCCACTGCACGGGGCTGCCAAGGGGGCCGGCACGCCTGCGATCCAGCGATGGAATGATTTGATTCCCCAGCCCTGCAGCATTCTGTCTGCGAGGAAATTTTCATTTGGTCTCTCCAACTCGAGAACCAATTGTAAATGTCAGCGCTAAATGCTCAGATTTAAGTGTTGGGTTGTCTTGTTTGATTACGGCACTAAAAGGTCAGGGCTGACTAATGGAAAGTACAAGCGGTATCGGGAGGGAAACTGTGTTCTGCCGTGGCTGAGCAAACACCTGGGGACAACCTAATCACTCTTCCCGCTGCATCTCTCTCTTCCCTCTCCGGCTCCTTCACTCAGGGCCGGTTTTTTCAGGTCTTACGACCTGGAAAAGCCATTTCTGGGGAAAATTCCTGCTTGTGACGTTGCTGCCGGGGATGCCGGCAGTGCTGGGTTTCCTCCTGGAGGAAACGGAGAGCTCATCTCGCCATGGCCTGGCTGGATTTGCTCCCAAAGGGGAAGGGATTGCACCAGAGCCAGGCTGCAGCCACCCCCCACTGCCATTACCGAAGTGCTTTGGGTGCCAAAGTTTCTCTGCATCCATTCACATCCCCATTTTGGCCTCCCTCTGGCAACCAGCATCCCAAGAGCTCCACGTAGAGAGCAGAATAGGACTTTTTCCCTCCTCCTTTCCCATTTGCCATCCATTTTCCAACACTTGCAGCACCTTTAAATTCCCCCTTCCCTGAGTTGTTCCAGTCATGGTGGCCAAATAAAACTCCAGTCACCTCAGACTGAGCTCAGGAAACTGCTTTTTCCTGAGCCCGTTCTCATCATCCCAGCTCCATAAGCAGAGTTCGTTATGTTTATTTTAAAGCTGCTTTCAAAAATATTAGTCCTTCTGCCACAGAAGTGCCTGGCAGAACAAAACCCCGAGGAGCTGTTCCTCCTCTCTGGGGAATACTGTGGTGGGCCCAAGCAGGAGCACTCATTCCTCCCTACAGATGCCATCCCACACTGGGATCTGGTCCCTGCTGCCAACCCTTAAATCCCTCCAGGGATGAGGACTCTACCACTGTCCTGGGCAATATCTTTCAAAGCCTGACATCCCTTTTGGTGGAGAGATTTTTCCTGATTCCAAATCTAAACCTCCTCTGGCACAACTTAGACCATTTCTGCTTGTCCTATCCCTTGTTCCCTGGGAACAGAGCCCAACCCCCACCTGGCTCTCCCCTCCTGTCAGGGAGTTGCAGAGAGTGAGAAGGTCCCCCCTGAGCCTCCTTTTCTCCAGGCTGAGCCCCCCCAGCTCCCTCAGCCACTCCTGGTGCTCCAGATCCTTATTATAAAAGGCAGTTGTCTTATTCACAGGTCCCTTTGCAGGAGCATCCCTGGGGAAAGGGTCCCATTAAGCAGAGGATGGTGCCAGAAGGATGAAGGGGCTCAGAAACCACCAAAAATACAGGAGGGGAAAAAGTCCTCACACCAGCTCATCACCAATATCAAATGCAAAGAAATCCAAGAAAAATATCCATCTCCAAACTGAGCTATTTCCTTCACAGTCCAGGCATGGAGTGGGACAGAGCCTGAGCTGCACTGGGGAAGTCAAGGCAGCTTGTGGTCTGTAAGATTAATAGGAAATCTGCTCTGGACTGGGAGTGATTCCCTCTTTTATTGCAATGAACCCCAAAGAGTAATGGCTCTAGGGCAAGAAGAGGAAGGTAAATTGCAGTAATAATGTGTTTCCTTGTGCAGACATGCTTTTGATCATAGAAAATACACCATCTGTTTCTAAATTACTTGTATTGATTTAACAGTTAGAAACGTGAGGGGAGATCTTTTTTTTTTCCTCCTGCAAATCCATTTTGTGAGGTCGCCTGGAAATCTGACAGTTCTGGGCAATAAAAAGTACGGGCTTGTTCATCACAAAAGATTCCTGCTGCCAGGGATGGGGCTGTGGCGGGACATCCCCTTCCTCTCCATCACCCTGTCCCGCTGAGAGTTGAGCACCCGAGTCCTGATGCACCCCATAAGAACTATTTCTTTACACCAAATAAGATGTTCTTGTGTTTCTTCTTCCCTGTGAGGGCGGTGAGGCCCTGGCACAGGTTGCCCAGAGTAGTTGTGGACGTCCCATCCCTGGAAGCGTTCAAGGTCAGGTTAGACGGAGCTCTGAGCAACCTGTTTGTTCCCACCTGAATCCTCCCATAGTGTCCCCAGCACTCCCAGACCAGCACCACCAGCTCACAGCAAAGCCCCACAGCCTCCACACAAACTCCTTCCTCTCCCTGGTGGAAAACACCCCAAGCCCAGGCATCGTCCACAAACCGACTTTCTACTTTTCCAAGTGAAATCAGGAGATGGATCTTGGCTCCTGCTGGTTGTGATCTGCAAGGTTTATTCAACCCAAAAAAAAAAAAAAGGCATTTTCATGCAGAATCTTTTGGTTCATAGAAGAAGTTATTCTGCAGCAGCCACCTGACAACCCTCCCCCCCAAACCGAGAAATAAAGTGACTCCGGAGTGAGCAAAACCGAACGCGCTGTCCAATCCCGACACACAAAAGTGGTTCCTATCATTTCGTACAACATGGGGAAATTTGGCAAACACAGCTGATCTGCAGTTCCCATCTCTTAAGCACTTTGGGGCTGGCTTTGGCCTCCAATCCTCGGGTTGCCTGTCTGGAAAACAGACATGTGTCCTTGTGCTGCGGGACCTGGGGACCCTCCGGGGGGAATCCGAGCCAGGTGAGGGAAGAGCTGCCGTGTCAGCGTTTTTAAGTGGGGGATATAAATATAAAACATGGATACAAACGGGTTCTTCGTACACAAAATATCATCTCTCAAGGCACTGGGGTGACGGCCCTGCTGCCACTCGTGGGCTCTCACTGGGCTTCTGCAGCTGCTTAGGAAGGAGGGGAAGAAGGGACCGGAGAAGTCCCAGTGCTGCCATCCAAGGGGGATTTCACCCAGACACCCCAGGAGGGAGTTTTCCCAGCGGATGGTGCTTTTCCTTGGTGGGGGTGGTGTGATCCCACAGGGGCTTCAGTCTCCTTGGGATGGCTTGGGGCTGGGTTCGGCCAGGAGGGAGGTGCATAGATAGGCCGGGGGCTCGGGCTGCTCCGCTCCCTCGTCATGCCAGCAGCCCCAGCCGGGTCACCTTGGCTGAGAGGAAGGAGTGGATGATGAAGACGATGGTTTTGGGGCAGGAGTGAAGGTCCAATTGCTGCAAGAAAGGAAGGGAGGGGTGTTCACAAAGGGGAAGGCTGTTTCTGTAGCAGCTTTCAGCCAGGGACCACCCAGACCCCCCAGTCTCTACCACGGCCTTACCCTGGGGCCCTGGGAAGAGTTGTGCACCCTGGTTGGGGCAGATGGATGGGTCATGCCTCACCCCCATGCCAGGCAGGATGGGTGCTGTGCACAGGGCAGGTTCTCTGCTCCCCCTCTCCCCTGGGACTGGTGGGAGTGTGGGTGGGGGGTGCTGAAGGCAAAGCCAACTCACGATCTCTCCCTCCGGGCCACCAAAGTCCAGGTAGAGCATCTTGGTGCCGTCATCCGAGGACATCTGCAGCTTCTCGAAGGGCTGCTGGAGCAGGATGGTCCTGCTGAGCCCGGGCTCCGTGGTGGAGATGGTGAAGCCCTTGTCGATGTGGACGGTCAGGGTGCACTCCTGCCCCTTCCACGTGCAGGCTGGGGACGGGGAGGGGACAGGGGTGAGCCGGGGGTCCCCCCGCACCGCCCGGACCCCCCGGCCCCCCGCTGACCTGCCGACACCTCCTGGGCCAGCTCTGCGGCGCCGTGGGTGCCGTCCACCAGCAGCCGCGTCCACAGGGCGAGCTCCCGGGGGCTCTCCAGGCTGAAGAGGTGGGTCTGCACGCCCAGCCGGCTGCCGGCGCGCAGCGCGAACGAGCGCTCGGCCTCGTACAGCGCCGAGCCCTTCGCCGGCCCCGAGTGCACCAGCCTGCGCCAGGGACAGTGCTCAGCACCGCGCCCCGCACCCCTGCACCGCATCGTCCCAGCACAGCCCCAGCACCGCGCCCCGGACCGCCCCAGCGCCGCACACTCGCACCGAAATGTCCCGGCATCGCCCCCCCGCACCGCACCTCAGCACCGCACCTCAGCACCGCACCTCAGCACCGCACCTCAGCACCGCACAGCTCCAGCACAGCCCCGCAGCCCGCATCGCACCTCAGCGCTGCACCTCAGCACCGCACAGCTCCAGCACAGCCCCGCACCCCGCACCGCACCTCAGCGCTGCACCTCAGCACCGCCCCCGCACCGCGCTCCACAACGTCCCAGCACCCCGCACTGCTCCTCAGCACGAATCTTCAGCACCGCACAGCCCCGGCACCCCGCACCGCACCTCAGCACCGCACAGCCACAGCATCCCGCACAGTATCTCAGCACCGCATCTCAGCCCCAGCACAGCCCCAGCACAGCCCCGCATCCCGCACCGTCCCAGCCCCGCATCTCGCTCCGCGGTGGCGGTGCAGCGGGGCCGGCAGGGGGCGCTGCAGCCCCGCGGATGAGCCCCCGCAGCGCCCGAACCCCCGCACGGAGCAACGGGATGAGCCCCCGCACCGGCCCCGGGACACTGCCCCGCCTAGGGACACTACTACCGCCCCGGGACACTGCTACCGCCCCGGGACACTGCCCCTGCACCGGGACACTGCCTCCGCACCGGGACACTGCCCCTGCACCGGGACACTGCTACCGCCCCTGGACACTGCCACCGCCCCTGGATACTGCCCCCGCCCCGGGACACTGCACCGTCCCTGCACTGAGCCCCGCACCAGCCCCAGGGCTCTGCACCACCCTGGGACACTGCCACCACCCTGGGACACTGCCACCACCCTGGGACACTGCCACCATCCCGCACCGACACCCCGCACCAGCCCCGGGGCTCTGAGCCCACCGTCCCCAGCGCCCTGACAACACCCCTGGACATTGTCACTATCCCCAGTGCCCTGCAAACACCACCAGGTGCTCTGCCATCATCCCCCCACTGCCCTGCCACCACCCCGGGACTCCACCATCACCTCAAACGCCTCTGCCACCACCACGACCAGCCCCTGCCATCAGCCTGGGGCTCTGCCCTGACACACAGCTCCTGCCACCACTTCTGGTCACTGCCACCATCCCTGGTCACTGCCACCACCCTGGGGCTCTGCCACGACCCCCGGAGCTCTGTCCTGACTCCCAGCCCCTGCCACTGTCCCCATGCAGGGCAGGAGGGCACCGGGGCAGTGGCCCCTACCTGGTGGCGATGAGGGGGTAGCTGTGCGTGGGCTTGCCCAGGGCATCCCGGCTCTGGGGTAGGCTGCCGTACAGCAGCAGCTCCTTCTCCGTGAGGACGGCCAGGAGGTTCCTGGTGCCGGCGCTGGGGAGCTGCAAAGCGACTGGGTCAGGGCCACCAGCAGCGTGGTGGCACGGGGCGGTGCGGGGGGCGCGGGGGGTACCTGCTCGGTCAGCCAGCCCACGTGTTTGACATCCCGTCCGGCCGCCGTGCCCGCGCCCGCCAGCTGTGCCCGCAGCTCCTCCTTCACCCGCGGCAGCAGCGCGCCCGCGTTGGCCTGGATGGCGGCGAGCCAGGACTGCGCCGTGGCCTCGTCCTTCGCCCGCAGGAAGAGGGCGACGCGGCCGTCCGCCGAGCACACCTCCAGGTACCTGCAGGGACACGGCCCCGCTGGGTCCCCGCCGGCCCTCGGCCCCCCGGGCAGCGCGGCGGCATCGCCACCCCCCCGGCCCCGCACGCTGACCTGTGCTCCGGGTCGGTGGGGAGGCACTTGCGGGACACGTAGCACATCTTCAGGGGCACGGTGCGGCCCTCCCGGAGCTCCCGAGGGGGTAGGACGGGGGAGGATCGCTTCTGCGGGGCACCAGGAGAGGGGTCCCAGCTCACCGTGGCCCCCGCGGGGTTGTTCTTGAAGTAAGGGGAGATCTCCTTCATGTACTTCACTGGAAGAGAGGCAGCACCCGGCTGAGGGCACAGCATGGGCCAGGGCAGCCTCATCCAGCCCCGCTGAAACCTCCTGCACCCTCCCTTCACTGGAGCTGGTGTCCCCTCCATTACCTCCCCAGAGATGCCACCCATGGGTGCTGTGGGTCCTATGCCCTGCATGCCTGTGGTGGATGAGGTCACACCAGAGGGGGACACAGAATCACAGAATGGTTTGGGTTGGAAAGGACCTTAAAGATCACATTGTTCCACCCCCTGCCATGGGCAGGGACACCTTCCACTAGCCCAGGTTGCTCCAAGCCCCATCCAGCCTGGCCTTGGACACTTCCAGGGATGGGGCAGCCACAGCTCCTCTGGGCAACCTGTGCCAGGGCCTTACCACCCCCACACGACACCTAGGACGCTCCTAGTACCTCTGCTCCACCATCCCAGCACAAGAAGCCCCCCAAGAGGGACAAAAATGGCCTTTCCCCCCTTTTTTCTTCCCTTTAACCCAGATTAGTTCACAGACCCAAGCCTGATCAGGTCCCTGGGGCAGCACACACAGGCAGGGGTGGGGAATGGGAAAGAGTCCCAGGCCAAAATTACACAGTCCAAACTGTGCTGGTACAGCCAGTCCCGCTGCCAACTGAGTAACAGCTCTCAAATACCCTGGCCTGGCCCCAGGAAAAGCCATGGAGTGCGTGCTCAGAGCTCAGCCCTGCCCCGTGAGCCTCAAACCAGGGACGAGAAATCAGCTTTCAGTCCCCAGTGAGCCTGGCTCCAGAGCCAGAGCCCTCAGAGCCACGCTGGGATGGCAGCCGGCTCCTGGGGTTTAAGGGAAGGGGGAGATGAAAGGCACCACAAATTGATGGGACCCCACAGCTACATCCTGAGAATGTAGCTGGCAACACTGGCCAAAAAACTTTGGCTGAGCAGGCAGGATGCCAGTCCCAGTCCTGCCCTGGGGGAGCGTGGAACCAGCTAAGTGGCTCCAGGGAAAGGGCTTCCCTTTGGAGGTGCTCAGGGAAAACAGCACGGGGCAAACACGTGCCTGCTGCCACGTCCCCAGCCATCCCTGCTGGTCCCACTCCAGCTCCAAGTCAGTGGAGTGGGTGGCAGCAGTGGGGACACGAGCTTGGCTTTCCAGCCAACATCTGTAGGTGGCTGGATGGGCCCAGCTCCAATCGCTGCAGCCAAGCCACGGCAGCCTGAGGTGCCAGAAAGGAGCCCTTTTCCCACCAGGAGAGAGTCTGCACGCAGAGCCCTCCACCCCCAAACTTCACCTGCCCACCACCAGCCACCTTCCACCCCTCTTCCCCAGGGAAGGGGTCACAGCACCAAGCCTGACAGCTCAAGAAGCATTTGGACAATGCCCTCAGGCACGTAGTGGGGTTGTTGGGGTGTCCTGTGCAGGGCCAGGAGTTGGACTCAGTGATCCTTGTGGGTCCTTTCCAGCTCAGAACAGCAATTCTGAGACCTCCCCCTTCATTCCTATCCCGGTGAGCTCCCTAAAACCTCTAAATCCTGACACCCAGCAGGAGCTACGTGGAGGCAGAGCCCCGCGGGTGCCCCGCAGGACACAGCTATAAAAGGCCACGCTGCTGTGACACGTGGGCCGGGTCAGCCCGCGGTGGCCCCGGGGCCAAGGCGGCGGCGGAGGCCACCAGCCTCGTGCCCTGCGCCTCCCGCTATAAATAGGGGCCGCATTCCCGCAGGCATCCCAGCCACGCGGGATCCCACCCGGGCCATTAATCTTGGCAGCAGGGACCTGCCATTATGCCGGTGCCTGGGAACTAATTGGAGTTCAGAAAGATATCATTCAGCTGCTGAAACCCGAGCGCTGTCCCTGCGCCAGCCCCTGGCTCCCCCGGCACGCGGGGACGTCACCGGCATTCGCTGGGAGACGGTGGGGTCACGTCCCGATGGAGCCACGGAGGAGAGGAGCAGTGCCCAGCCCAGGATGGGGCACAGGGAATTAGGGAATGGCCCAGTGTGCGTGTCACTGGTATGTGGCTTTAAGGAGGATTTAAGGCCAAGAAGCACCAACGGGTTCCCACAGCACTGGGGGTCCTGAGCCAGCACAGGGAGCTGGGATGTGCTGGAAGCTGTGGGAGTCACAGTCCCATAGGAGCTGCTCTCTCCTCCAGTGACCCCAGCATTGGCTTTATAGCAGGTGACTTACACTTCCACCAGTTCCTTCACTGCAGCTGGTATTGAATGATTAATTAATTACCTCCATCTCATTAAAGCACACAACTCAGACCATATTACACATCACCTCTGCTGCCAGTAACTGTAATTCCTAAATTATTTTTTCTTTTTAACTAACACTGCTGGAGCTCCTGCCTGGTCCTTGTTTGTTAGCCTGCACCCTCCAAAAACCACTTGGCAGAAGCACTGCCTCACTGCTGTTGACTTAAAGCCACCTTCAGCAGGCACACCGCCATGGGTGGCTGCTGGGCTAATCCACACAGCCCCCAAAGCCATGTGGGCTCTCCACTTCCCAGAAGAGACAGCCTGTGCCACTGATCCTCTCCAGGATGGAGGAGATGGGACAAATAAAACCTTTACCTGCTCACTGAAGAACAGTTTCTGGGGGACAGCAAAAGTCTCTGGGCTTGTGGCCACCTGTGCCAGGATGGTGCCTCTGCAGGGGGGTGGTGGCACAGGGGCATTGCCAGAGCATCACATGTGCCCTGAACCCTGGAGCATGTTGCATCAGGGACATGGTAAAATAAAAGCCCTCTGTCTGCCCTGCTCTTCCCTCTGTGTTGCAGTTGGGGTTTTTTTCCTCCTCAGCAAGCCAGAAAGGACAGAACCATCAAAATTCCTTGAGTTTACTTCTTGGGCACAAATTCTCCTTCTCCTCCCAAGAATGGAGAATAATCACAAACCAAACACTCCTGCACCCTCAATCCTGAGCCTGCATGATGTGCCCCACACACCTCCCATGGCTCAGCATGACCAAAGCCAAGCTCCTGACCCCAGAGAGCTTCACTGAGGAGCCACAAAACCTCCTCCAGGCAGGAAAACAGTCCCAGCCACACGGACACCCAAGTTCAAGAGAACCCTCCTGCTGCTTGGCCCATGACTCTGGTGCTGGCACACTCTGCTCCAGCCCAGAGATCGTGGCATGGATTCAACACAAAGCTTCAGAGCAGCGAGGTGTGGAGGGGGGAGGAGGATGTGGACCCTCATCCTCTCTCTACATCATCTCCAGGGCAGGTCCAAAGCCTCTGTTTCTGCTTGGGTTCCATCCCATGGTTATGGCAATCAGCCTGATGGAGCTGGGTATCCCCAGCCCCACTCTCTCCTGGCACCCTTTTGTTTTTCTGAATTTCAGGCTTCCAGGCTATTTCTTGGCCAGGCAAGTCTTGGAGAGCTGCAACAGCCCCAGGAGCATCCCTGTGGCCAACAAGCCCTGAGCTGCCCCAGATTTGAGATGCCCGAGGCTGCCCCAGCTCCTCCTCCCCAATGCTCCCAGTTCTCCCCACGTGATAATGCAGCACAAGGGCCTCCCCAGGAAAACCACTTTTGTCACCAAAGCCCTTCCCAGGGCAGCTGGAAGGATATTTATCAGCCTTTCCCCTGCCATGGAAAATCTCTGGATTCCAAGCAATGAAAATAAGAAGAAAAAAAAAAACAAACAAGGGAAAAATAAGGCAAGGGAGAGCAACTCTCCCTGAAATAACAATGTAATATAAATACAGTCAAACTCCTCCTGCAAATATCAAGGGAGTAGTTTGGCACATCCAAAAAAGAATCTTGGCAGGACACACTGAAAGGTATCTGCGTGTCCTCACGCCTGGGCAGCAATGACAACCCAGGGGCCAGAAGCCAAGCTGAGCAGCCTGGGGTGAGACCTGGCACGTGGAGCCACTGCTGATCCTCAAATTAAAACACATCACCTCCCAGCTCTGCTGCTTTGGAGGGTCCCACCCCAGCTCACTGCCCTGTAAGGAGGTGCCAGCTCTCCCAGATTTGTTACCTGCTGCAGTGCCACTTGCAAGCTATCCAATAAACTCCTAATCCCAGGAATGACTGCAGCCAGGAGGAGCAAGGTAGCAGACACTGGCTGTGCCAAACTACTCTGTTTTGATACTTACAGCACCGTAAGGAAAGCTGGAGTCACACTTGGCAGCATGCAGGGACCAGGAAGTGTCTAAGTGATGTTAAGGTGTTTTTCTCCAAACTCAAGAGCGAGTCCAAGCAGGAGAAGAGAGCAGGGAATCCCCCTTTAACACCCTTCAGGCACCTTTAGGCCATCCCCTGCCCTCCAGCCCTGACACTCTTCCCCAGGGCAGGACACTTGGCAAAGCAGCTCCTGGAGAGCCACCAGGATGGCAGGTACAAGGCAGGGGACACCCTTTCCTGAGGCAGGGCCATCAACTCCACAGGGCAGTGACAGCCTGACGGGAACACTGGCACAGTGCCAGCCCAGCCATCCTCCATGGGAAGGGCTGTACAGTGACAGCAAACCCAGAATAGGGAGGGCATGGAGATGCACCGTGTTTATAGGTGACATTTGTGATCAGATGAGCAGCAGAGACCCATTCCCTGCTCCAGCTGTTGCCTGGAGCACCCCAAGCAAACACCACAGTGCAGAACTCCAACAGTGTCAGCTACCAACTTATCCCAGAGTCTCCAGAGTGCTGTGGCCTCCAGCCACAGTGCAGAGTCTCCAGCCCTGCCTCACTCTGCTCCCAAGGTACCTGCTGGGAGTTTTAATTAATTCAGAAGCCCAGTAACTCATACCTGAGCTCAGCAAGCTCCAGCAAAGGCCCTGCCTGCAGCTGCCTCACGGGAGAGCAACCTGGCAGTGCCCGGCTCCCAGGGGATGGAGGAGGAGGAGGACAAGGGGGTTCAGGGAGAGAAATTGTTCTCTACAGAAAGGGCAGCTCATCTCCACCTCTGGCAGGACCTCTCACAGAAAGGAAACCCACACCAAAGTAAAGGATGGACAGAAAATAACAAAGAGAGGGTGGTCCAAGAACAGCGGCTAGGGGGAGGAATTTCGCAGACTCACAAAGAAAGAAGCTCTTGTATTTCTCTTTGGTCAGAAAAAAACAACAAAACCACCCCACCACCAAGCCTATCTGCTCCCAGCAGCTGTGCAGAGCAGCACATTCCTCGGGCTGAATCGTGGCCCTGCGGCTCCCAGGAGAGGAGGAACCCACAGCAGAAAGGGCTGAGCGAAGCTAAAAATGAAAATCTGGAGCTGAGACAATCTGGGGAAGGCAGAGGAAAGCAGGAGCCACAGTGGTTGTTGGCAGCAGAGCATGCAGGACTCTTTCTTTGTCCAGGGACAGCCCAGAGAGCTGCCCCCAAATCAAACCTCCCTTTGGGATCTGCACAGGGAAGGGTCTTTGGTGCCAAGACCCTCACGGTTAACCAGGGCAACCCTACAGCTGGTTGGAAGAGAAGGGAGGGAAAGGGTCCTGTCCTGAGGGGCAAATCTGGGGTGCTCATCCCAGCCTGGCCAAGCTGGCAGAGGGGTGGGCAAACACGGACAGATGTGATGTAAAAGACAGTGGGAAAAGAACGGGGCCTCTCCCTCAGCACTCCCATGGTCACAACCCACCGCCCTCACCCACTCCTCAGGTGGGGCTGGGGGGCTCCTGCAGGGCTAGGAGACCCTGGAACTGGCTACCCAGTAGCAAAAAGCAGCCCATTCTGAGGGGACCAGCCCCAGTCTCTCCCAGGATGGAGAAAGCTGCATCCCTGAGATGTTTGTAGCCTCATCTGCCAAATCTGGGGTTCAGCTGCGAGGGATCCCATGGGTGGACAGCCCCTGCAGCTGCACCCCTGAGCTGGTCCTGCCTCACTCTCCACCTGCTCCTCCTGCCTTCCCCAAACCCACCCAGCAAATCCAAAGCTGTTCAGCAGAGGTAGGGGACCAGCACACCCCCTTCCCACTGCCAAAATCCCAACCAGGGATGTGGGTTTAAATTAAAATTGGGGGAAAAGCAGAAAACGTTTTCTGTTTCCCCAGGACCTGCAGACCTTGGGGTGATGCTGTGCAACACAAGAGCCCCAAACCCCAGAAACCTGTCCCACACCTCCCACCACTGCCTGACCCCAGTCCCGTAGCAGAGAGACGGAGCTGCTGGACATTGAGCAGTGGCACACATGTCTGATACGCCACCCCAGTGCCATCCGAGTAGAGAAGGACCCTTGTCACTCCTTGCACCCTTGTCTCTTACCTTCCAACACCACCTCCTTGCCCGTCTTCTTCAAGGCCTGCACGGCCTCGTCGTGCGTGGCCTCGGACAGGTCGGTGCCGTTGACGGAGAGGATGGCATCCCCCACGTACAGCGCCTCGGTCTGATCTGCTGCCAGCCCCTTAAAGATCTTGGAGATCAGGATGGGCATTTTATTCTCTCGGCCACCTCGAAACAGAAGAGACAGGAAGCAGTTGTGGCTGTTGGAGCTCATGGAGAGCAGGTGGGGAGGGGGATGCTCCGGTACCAGATGGCCCTGGTGAGGCTGAGCCCTTCTCCTGGCACTCAGTTGTGCTGGGTCAACCCCCTGCTCGTTCCCCCAGATGCCCACAGGACACCTGTACCAACCACAGCAGCCAAACTACCACCAGGCTTTACAGCAGATGAAGTGATTGCTCCAAAACCACTAGGAATGATCACAGATTAGTCACAGAGTGAACACGTAAACCTGGCCATCTCCCCATCAATTCTGGCAGGAAAGCATGTCTTTATTTGCATTATTAATCATGTGTGCTGAGAGACTATCCTTGCTCCAAGGACTTCATGATCTCAACAGATCAGACAGCTGAACGTTTTTGGAGAGGCCAAAGAGTCAGGGAGAGGTGAACCAACCTGGCTGCGTGTTCCTCTCAGCACAGCAGCCCTATCTTACCTGCTGCTCTCCTGACTAAAAGAATGCTATTCAGACTCCCGGCGGCTTCAGGAGATCAATTTGCACGTTAACTTTTGAACCCGCCGGGAGATCCGAGCTGCCTCCGTGCCAGGAAGCAGGGATGCAGCAGCTACTGCCCACGGCAGCCGGGGATCAGCAGTCCCCGAGATGCCCTGTGCCCCGGGACAGCCTGTCCCGAGGAGCCTCCAAGAGATGTTCTTCACCCCAGAGGGAGAGGTTGAGCCCAGCCTCTTGTCACTGCCCGCCCCGAGGCTGCTCCCAGCCAGTGCCACAGGCATTTCCTCGCTCAGCCGCCTGCCAAGCCCTGCGAGGGCTCTGGTTATCAGCTGTCAGAGGCCCCGGCGGGGGCTGCTCCGTCCTTGCAGCAGCGGCTCCTGTCCCAGCTGCCAGCACCGAGAGTCCTGCCAGGGCCCAGAGCCTCGGCCAGCACAGCTCTAGCCCAGCTTCCTGCTGTCCTGCCAGCCCAGCACCCCCAGCACCCAGACCCACACCCCATGGCAGGACACCTCACCCACAGCCCGGGTGGCGGGGAAGTGTCCCCGGGTGAAACGCGGTTGGCACGTGCACAACCAGGGATGTGCCAGCAGCCTGGAGAGGAGGAATGATGTCCTGTCCTACCAGAGCTGCCCCACCACTCACAACAGCTTCTACTGCCCAGTTCTGATGGCAACTACTTCTTTTCCACATACGTCACTGCAAAAATAAAGTCTTGACTGAACCAAGTGTAGTTTCTCCTTTCCTGGGAGAGCCACAGAGCAAGCAGTAACTTGGCAGCCAAAGGGTCGTTACGAAAGGGGTTTTATCCTTCCAAAAAAAAAAGGGTTGGCAGGCTGGGGCACCCTGGAGATACGGCCAGCAGTGTCGATCCAGTTCCAGCACACAGATATCCACACAGTAAAACCTCCCGACTTCAGAGGGAGCCGGAGTCTCCTCTGAGCTGTGAGGAGAAGCCACGTCAGGAGGCGAGAGCTGCCCTGTTGCTGCCCCCGGGGCTGCCGAGCCCGCCGCCTGCCCTGCCCGCAGACGGAGTCACGGCCCCTCACAGCCACGCTCCGTGACAGACCTTTCCCTGCCTCTTTGCTGCCCTTTTCATCCTCCTCTCCACCACGCTCGGAGCCGCGCGAAAAGCAAAGGCAGGCGGGACGCCAGGAACGCCATCCCTGCCCCAAGAAGTTTCCAGCCTGAAGTTCAGGCGAGACACCAAGGCAGTTTGGGAAGGAAAACAAGGATTACAATAGGGAGGCTTCCCGCTGCTCGGCTTCCCGGGAGCAGACGTCTCCAAGCCCGAGAGCGTTGGTTTAACAGCCCCAGAGCCTGGGGATCTCCAAGGGCTTTACGTCGTTTATCTGATAGTTTAAAAGGGCATCTCCCAGCTCAGGGACACGGGGGGACAAGGACACGCCGGCAGAGCCCTCGCTGTGGTTACAAAAGGGCAGCTTTTGTATAACTGGGTGCCCTCTGCATCCCACCTGCCTCCTGAGACACCACCCTACCCGTGGGCGCGGGGGGACAGCGGGAATCTGTCCCCTCCAGCCCCCAAACGCCGGGGACCCCCACTCCGGCCGGGGTACGGCGGGCAGGGCTGGCCGCTCCCCCTGCACCCCGAAGCATGGCCCCCTCCGTAGGGGGTCCCGTCAGTGCCACGCGTCCCCCTCCCCATCCCGCGCAGGGGCTGGGGGGTGTGAGGACCCCGACCCCAGCTCCGAGCGAGCCGCGGAACGGCGGCAGCAACAGGTCGCGGTGCCGGTGCCTCTCTGTCCCCGCCGCCCATCCCGGGGATGAGGGGACCCCCCCTCCCCATCCCGGCCTCACCTTTGATGCTGATGCCAAGCCCCCCCACGTCCTGCTTGACGACGCGCACGGTTCTCCTGATGTTGGCGAGCGCCTCGGGCGCGGCGGAGCCCGGCTCGCCTCCGTTCAGCTGCGCCGCCGCCGGGGCCTCGGGGCCCGGGCCGGGGCCGTCGGCAGGGCTGACCCCCAGCACGTCCTCGGCCAGGGTGAGCAGGACGCGGAGCCACTGCCCGCCGGGGCCACGCAGCTCCAGCAGCCCGGTGCGGGGGGCGCGTCTGCCCGCCGCCATCTTCGCGCCCGCCGCTCCGCGCCCCGCACCGCCCCCCCCGCCCTGCACCCGCACCCTGCACCCTCCACCGCCCCGCTCACCCTGCACCGCCCCGCACACCGCCCCGCTCACCCTGCACCGCCCCGCACCGCCCCGCACACCGCACACCCTGCACAGCCCCGCTCACACCCTGCACCGCCCCGCTCACCCTGCACCGCCCCGCTTCACCCTGCACGCCCGCACACCGCCCCGCTCACACCCCTGCACACCCGCACCGCCCCGCTCGACCCGGCACGCCCCGCTCACCCCTGCACCGCCCCGCTCACCCCTGCAAACCCGCCCCGCGCACCACCACCCACCGCTCCCCTGCACCGCCCCGCACACCATGCACCGCCCAGCACCGCCCCGCACACCCTGCACCGCCCCGCACACCCCAGGCACCGCCCCCTCACGCCCTGCACCGCCCCGCACCCGCCCCGCACACCCGCACCGCCCCGCCAACCTGCACCGCCCCGCCCCCTGCCCGCCCCGCTCCACACCCTGCACCGCCCCGCACACCCAGCACCGCACACCCTGCACCGCCCCGCTCACCCTGCACCGCCCCGCACCCTGCACCCGCACCTCACCCCTCACACGGCCCCGCTGCACCGCCCCGCACCGACCCGCACACCGGGCACCCCGCACGCCCCGCACACCCTGCACGCCCCTATTCCACCCTGCACCCTGCCCGCCCCCCTCACCCTGCACGCCCCGCAACACCCCGCACCGCCCAGCACCGCCCCGCTCACCCTCACCCGCCCCCGCTCACCACCCGCAACCGCCCCGCTCACACACTGCACCGCACCGGCACCGCCCCGCACACCCGCACAGCCCCGCACCCTGCACCGCCCCGCACACCCTGCAACGCCCCGCTCACCCTGCACCGCCCCCGCACTCCCTGCCCCGCTCCCGCAACACCCTGCACCGCCCCGCACACCGCCCGCTCACCCTGCCCGCCCCGATCACACCCGGGCCCCGCTCACACCGCCCCGCTCACCCCCCTGCAACCGCCAGCACACCCTGCACCGCCCCGCTCACACCCTGCACCGCCCCGAACCGCACCCCCCCGCAACACCCCCCGCACCCTGCACCGCCACGCACACCCTGCACCGCCCCGCTCACACCCCGCACTGCCACACTCCGGAACAGCACGGGGCACTGGGAGGGACCGGGACCCCAGCCCCCCCCCGTTCCGCTCTGGGACGGGACACAGGGGTGCTCCCCAGTGCTCCCCGCACCGGCCCGGGACGGGGCACCGGGAACAGGCACGGCTCCTCTGTACTCCCTGCGCCACCCTGGGACGCGGCAGCGGGAAGGGGCACGGCTGCCGGTGCCCCCTGCTCCATCCCAGGACAGGGCACTGGGGAGGACACAGTGCTCCCTGATGCTCCACAGCGCTCCCTGCTCCAGCCCGGATGGGAGGGCACCAGGAGGGACATGGTTCTCACCAGTGCTCCCCATTCCTGCCTGCGAGGGACACAACCTCCCAGGGCTCCCCTCTCCATCCTGAGTGCTGGGAGGGATCCAGTGCTCCCCATTCCAGCCTGGGATGGGGCAACAGGAAAGACACAGCTCTCCAGTGCTCCTTGCTCTGGACTGGATGGGGTATGGGGAGACACCAGGACACCAGGGCCCCACTGCTCCATCCTGGGATGGGGCACTGGCAGGGCCTGGTTTTCCCCACTCCAGTGTGGGACGAGGCACCAGGAGGGGCATGGCTCCCCAGTGCTCCTTGTTCTGGCTTGACGCAGAGCCCCAGTACTCCCCAGTGCTTCCCAGTGCTCCCTGCTCCGGCCCAGGATGGGACACAGGGAGAGACACAGGCCCCCAGTGCCCTGTTGCTTGTCCCACCTCTGGCCCTGGACATTCTGGGGGTCCCTGGGTCGCTGTGCTGGGGGTCTCCGTGCTGGGCTGTGTCACAGGAGGAGCAGCAGGAGCCGGGCAGGGGCTGTGGCTCTTCATGTGTCCCCAGCAGCCACAGCCAGGGCAGGAACCACCCAAGTCCCAATGGGTGTTAAATAGGAGCCAGGTACAGGGAGATGGTGCCTGCAGACACTCAGAAGAGTCTGCATTGCTTTTCCTTTGCTTGTCCAAGATCTTGAAAACAAGAATATTTTGACTCCCTTGGCAGACCTGCATTTTTTCTGCATTAATTAGGAGTAGTAAATAATCTCCAAGAGCAGCAAATGCCTCTTGGCACATCCCCTCTGCCCCTTCCAAAGTGCTTCAAGCAGCTCCAGAGGCCTCCAGGATGGGGCTACTGAGGTCTCAGACCCTCTGGAAAACACAAGGATTTGTAAGAACTCAGGAACATTTACGGCAGACTGGGAAGGGGACGGAGTGAGGGGCTCTGGGTTCATGGGGCAGGGGGGCTGCAGCGTGTGCTGCTCCACACAGCCCTTCCCAGCTGGGGTCTGCAGCCAGCCCTGAGCATCAGCCTCATACAGAGGGGAAAAATGCTCCCCAGGCTCCCTCCCACGCAGCAGCAGCTGTGGAATTTCTTGATGTTGCAGCAGAGGAAACCCTGAAGGTTATTTCTTTACAAAACAGACAGTTCACATATTCCTGATTTTCTTTCTGCTAAAAGGTCCGGGGTTTGGCTTAAATGACTCTTCACAGTACGATGCTGCTCGCTGTAGCAAGCAGTTCTACAGCACCTCAGAGATATTCCCCTGAGATCTCACCCCCTGCACACCCTGTGGGACTCTCCAGCCCTGCTCTGGCTGCTTGTGCCACTGGGTTCTTGTACAACAAGGGGAATTTGGTCTCTTGGTCCTTGAGCGCAGACAGCTCATTCCCCCTGTGCCACTCGCTCTGGGAGCACTCACTTTATTTGCCAGCCAGGCAGCTGCAGTCAGCAGTTTGTCCAGCTGTTTTTCCTTCCCAGGGCTGCTTTTGATAATTCCAGCCTCTAAGGCCACATTCCCATCTGAAACAGCAGTGGGAGTGCTAAATATTGCTTTTAGTGCAGCAGAACAGCACCGTTTGGGTTGTTTCCTTTCATTTCAGCTCTGTGCCCGGCAGCACGGATGCTGAGAAGCATGGCCTGGACTCATGGAAGCCATCCAGATGGTGCCAGTGCCTCTCCCTGTCCCACTGCTGGGATGGAGAAATCACCATGGGCCTTGGAGCCAGCACACAGCACTCTGACTTCACCTCCCTTGGGGAAAAAGCCACACCCCGCGGGTGCAGTGAGGAAGATGGGCAGTGATCCACAGTAGAGAGCTCATCCCACAGCCACTGCTTCTGCCCTGGACCCCCTGCACCCCCTTTCTTCAGCAATTAATATTCCTATGACAATTGCATCCATTAATTACGCTGGATGGAGATCCAAGGCAAGTATTGCAGGTGGTGTCTTCTAATGGAAACAGTGGGTACAAAGTGACCTTAAAGTCCCTGATCCCAAACTGGGAGGCTCACCCTGAGCAGGGGGTACGTCAGGAGGGCAGCAATAGGGCTGGAGGCTGGTACAGTACTGGCTCCAGCACTGGGGGGGCTTGGGCTTTATCAAAGACAAAAATCATCTGCTGGCTCCTCTGCACAGCTGGGTCTGTAAGAACTGTGGCCATTTGGACATGCCAGGACGTTCCTGGGAGTCCTGGTGCTCCCCCAAGCTGTTCTGGGGACTTTAAGCAGGCTTGGCTCTCCCAGGCTCCTTCCCCTCTTCGGAGCCTCTTCCTGTCCCAGGGCACACGGTGAGCACCGGGAGCGCGGCACACGGAGCGGTCCCGGCTCCATTTGACCCTCTGCAAGACACCGTGAGCGTAATTCCCATGACGTGGAGCTGCAGGACAGGCTGTGGGACGGGAGGGCGGGGGATGGAGGCTCTGTCCGGGGCTGGCACGCAGGAGTGAATCGCAGCTTCCAGGCATGCCAGCGGCGTTCGTCAGGGCTCCTGCCGATGGGGAGCGGGCGGGGGAGGAGCTGCTTGAAAAATTGCTATTCACAGAAATAGAAACTTCCTGCAGAAACACGTGTGCGTCGGTGACAAAAGCCCAGCTGGGAATTTCTCCCTGGCAGCAGGAGCGGTGGGAGGGGAAGGGGCTGGGGAGCATGAGGGGCTGAGGTGCAGGACTGGGGGTGCTGCCAGGGCCCTGACCCCGGCTCTGGGAGAAATCTCTGCTTTTTATCCGGAAAAAGCATCACTTGGCTCCATAGTCTCCAAACTGTCTTCAGGAGCAGGACCTGCCAGTGTGGCAGTGATGGGCTCCACACCCCCCATGCTGAGCTGTTCCCTCCAGCAGCACTTCCTTGGCCTCCTATTTGGATGCTGCAGAGGGTGGGGAGGCCCTGGCACAGGTTGCTCAGAGAAGCTGTGGATGCCCCATCCCTGGAAGTGTCCAAGGCCGGGTTGGACGGGGCTTGGAGCAACCTGGGCTAGTGGAAGGTGTCCCTGCCCATGGCAGGGGTTGGAACAGGATGAGCTTTAAGGTCCTTTCCAACCCAAAGCATTCCAGGAGTCTATGATTCCATGCTTCCCTAGCTGATTTCCATGGCAGGGTTGAGCCCATCCCGGCATTTTCTCTGCCTAATCTCTCCAGCCCCCTGAACTTCATCGTTAAGCAGCTATTATTAGTCTCATTTCTTGGCATAGCCAGGAGCTGTGTCAGAACCCACCAGCC